AGGTAAAATGCTCATGGAAACAGCCACTGGACTTGGTGGGAATTTCGCTCATCTTGATGCACGAAAGAACAGCCAGCAGACGTCAACTGTCAACAAATGTCAGCACTGTGGTACAGTAAGTCCTCATATAACTTCGTCCCGCTTAACTTTGTTTCGGTACTACGTCGCTAAACTTTAAGAGACCAAAAATTCTTTTAACGTCCCGGTGATCCGATACTACGCATTTTGCGTCGTCACGGACTACCTTCTACGGCGCATCACCCGCTCTTGTCTGGCTTTACTACGCTCTCTCGCTCGGCGGTCTGCCCTCACTTGCGGCACGTCACAGCATCCCCAAGCGACACCAAGCCAGTCTCAGTTACGATTCACGTCATTCGTGTGTGCTTAAGTGCTTTTTCTCTAAAACTACTCTAATCATTCGAAATGGCTTCCAAGCACCCATCAAGTGCTACTGTTGCTAGTGTAGTGAAGAGGCAAAGTAAGACCATTACCTTGGCTATGAAAATGGATGTATTAACCCGATTTGAAAAGGGTGAACGTGCTGTGGACATAGCCGCTGTGCTAGGTCTAACCCCCACAACTGTGCGTACTATCCGGACCAACGCTGACAAGATTAAGGTTAGTGCTGGAAGTGGTTCTTCTCTGAGTGCAACTAAGACAACTAGAAGTACTAGAAGTACTGTGATAGAGAAGGTGGAAAAGATGCTGGCTATGTGGATGGAGGACCAGAATCAACGCAATGTGCCTGTGAGCCTTATGGTTATCCAGCATAAGGCCAGAGGGTGAAGGATCGAAGGAAGAGACCTTTATAGCCAGCTGAGGATGGTTTCGTTATAACTTCCACAACATTAAGATGACTGGTGAAGCTGCTAGTTTAGATACAGTTTCTGCCAAGACATTCCCGCCTGAATTCAAGCGGATTATCCAGGAAGGAGGCTACTCACCGAAGCAAGTCTTCAATGTGGACGAGACTGGTCTCTTTTGGAAGAGGATGCCTGAGAGGACCTATATCTCCAAGGAGGAGAAAAGAGCGCCAGGTTTTAAAGCAGCAAAAGACCGCTTGACGCTGCTGCTTGGTGCGAATGCTGTCGGTGACTTCAAGCTGAAGCCTATGCTGATTTCTCGCGCTACCAACCCATGGGCCCTGAAAGGTTACTCTAAGGATCACCTCCCAGTGATCTACAAGGCAAACAAGAAGGTATGGATAACAGGTGCCATATTTAGCCAGTGGTTGAACATGTATGCCGTCCTTGCAATGAAGGAATACTGTGCCAAGGAGAACCTTGATTTCAAAATTCATCCTCCCACTCTCAACAACTTGCATAACAGTGTAAAAGTTGTGTTCCTGCCTCCCAACACGACAGCACTGATGCTGCCTATGGACCAAGGCGTCATCACAGCATTCAAGGCGTATTATTTACGCCGTACCATGGCCCAGCTGCTCAAGGATACAGACGGAGAAAATAAACCAACGATCCGAGAATATTGGTGTGACTTCAACATTTCTTATGCAATTGACAACATTGGCAAGGCATGGGAAGAGGTTTCAGAAAGTTGCCTGAATGGTGTGTGGCGTAAACTGTGGCTCGAGTGCGTCAACAGTTTTACGGGATTCACGGACTTAGTCCCAGCTGTGAATAGGGATATCCTCAGCTTGGCTAGACAGGCAGGCTTTGATGAGCTGGAATCAGAGGATATTGAGGACGTCCTGGCAGCCCACACAGAAGAGCTCACCAACGAAGATCTGCAACTGCTAACAGAACACAGTTCCGTTGAAGACGACGACGACGAAGAACCTCAACGAACGCTAACTTCCAAGAGGATGGCAGAAGCGTTCAACATGTTCCAGCAAGCAATGCAAATCCTTATAGATGACGACCCAAACAGAGAACGTAGCTCAAAGGTTCAACGCAGCAGTGATGACAGTCTTGGTTGTTACACAGAAATAATAAGAAGAGGAGTAGCACCAAGCAGTCAATGCTGGATTCATTTGTTCGTCTCAGGACGGCAGAAGGAGCTTCTTCACAACAGCCGGCAGCCGAGGAGGAGCAACCAGCGGCGGAGGAACCCCAGTCAGAGCAGGAGGAGGAGTCAGCCACAGAGTATCAGTGACTCACCACCCTCCTCCTCTCCCGCCATCCTCCTCCTCCTCCCCTTCACTCCCCACCACACACTCGCTCTACCACCTCCACCCATCGGTGAGTACCAATACAAACTTAGTACTGTAATTCTATATACTATTCTCTATAGAAATGGCGATGATTTTCTGTACGTACTTGTATATGTAACCTTTTTCATGGGTCAAAGGGAGGCTGGGGAACGTAACTCCCGTATTATATCTATTTCTTATGGAGAAAATTGATCCGTTTAACGTTGTTTCGTATAACGTCACGTTTTCAGAAGCGTAACCCCGACGTTAACCGAGGACTTATTGTACTTGACCATCACAAACATTTCTCACACCCACGAGCAGATTATTAAATATTTTTTCCACTAACTTGTCATTCTCTTGTTAAATACAGTAAGTCCTCGCTTAACGTCGTGGTTCCGTTATTGAAAACTGTGACATTAACGGAAACAACGTTAACGGAATCAATTTTCCCCATAAGAAATAGATAAAATACGGGAGTTACATTCCTGAGCCTCCCTTTGCCCCATGAAATACAGTACATATACTGTACTCCCTCTTTATCGACGGATTTTTTATGGACGGTTTCGATTATCGACGGATTATTTAGCCGGATTTTTATTTTGGCACCAAACAGCTTCTCCCAGTCCTCTCCTTGAACAGGGCTAGAGGGTACGTGTTTTTCGAATCGTTTTCAGTTAAAAAACTATTACATCACTCGTCTATTTTACCTAAACTGCGCCTGAATGAATATATTCTCGGAGATAAATAGTAGTTTTGTGGAAACGTGACGTATTTCAATGTAAAATAGGATAAAATACATGACGAAAACAAAAGACTTTACCTAAGCTTCCGATGTTCTTGAGATGTTACTCGTTTTTTTAATAGTTTTCGGTTAAAATTCTGTTATATTACAATGATATTCTATTCATACTGTGCTTGATATAATACATTCACGGAAATGTAATATTTTTGTTGAAATGACGTACGTATTACAGTGGAAAGTGGGATAAAACCGTGACGAAAACAATGACTTGCGCTTTCTTTCGTTCAAAAGATGTTACCGTAATCACTTTTCGAATGGTTTAGTTAAAAAACTGTTGTATTACAATAATATTCCCTCCTAATTGACTTGAATAAATACTTGAATGGAAATATACAATATTTTTGTTGAAACTACCCGCGTTTCAGTGTAAAGTGTTGTAATAATAAATGGTAAACAATTTGCCTTGGGCATCCGGATTTTTGGACTTTTACTGTACTGTACACTGTTTTGTTTACTGTAAGGACCGATGTTCACTTCAATAAATGAAATCGTAAGTTTGCTAGTATTTTTGTCCACTTATTATATTATTATTTATACACTATTATTTAAGGTTATGTGTAAAGGAAACGCATTAATGCTTAAAGGTACATTTATTCAACATATGCTAATAATAGTTAGAAAAATTACGTAACCATCACGGTATCGACGGTTTCTTTATCGACGGCCGTTTACAGAACGTAACCCCCGTCGATAAAGAGGGAGGTTGTAGTACTGTAGTATATATATATATATATATATATATATATATATATATATATATATATATATATATATATATATATATATATATATATATATATATATATATATATATATATATATATATATATATATATATATATATATATATATATATATATACACTCTCTATAAAAATGCCATTGAATTTCTGTACAGTATATGTATTGTATTTCATACAGTATACAGTATGTACTGTATATATATTGGATGGAGGTGGTGGAGCGAGTGTGTAGTGGAGCGGAGGAGGAGGGTGGTGAGTCACTGAGACCCGGCGGGTGGCTCCTCCTACCGGTTTAAAACCTCCATTTTCGTAGCAAGGCTAATGGTCTTATGTTACTTCTTGATGGGTGCTTGGAAGCCATTTTGAATTGTTAGAGTGCAGTATTAAGAGCAAAAACACTTAAACACGCACGAAAGCTGCGGAAGCTTAACAAAGACTGACGACGCTTGGGGATGCCGTGACGCTCTGCGGGTGAGAGCGTAGTGTGCCAAGATGAGAGAGGGTGATGCACCGTACAAAGTAGTCCGTGACGTTATACTGAATCGACGGGACGTTATCCAAGTCGTGGGTGTCTAAAGAATAGCGACGTTATAACGAAACAACGTTTTTGGGAGCAACGTTAAACGAGGACTTACTGTACTGTGTTGTGACAAGATTTAAGTAATAATATATGTTATGAAGTATTAAGAAGCAATGTAAAGGTTTAACATCTTCATTCTCTGTCATCAAGAAATTTGTTGCACTGAGTATTTTATTCTAGCAAACACCAGATGACTTTATTCAGCTGAGGGAACCCTCACTAGTCAAAGGGCTGACAAGGCATTTAGCAGGCCGTCACTCTAACACCAGATACATACTGGACTGAGATTCACAAAACATCTTACAAACACTTGCCTTTGAACAGACACAATAGAATAGATAGTCAATACTGTAGACTAAAAGAGTATTATCCGATACAAATAGTCTCAACCCTTTACTTCAAGTGCTTACTGTCTTGGCTCTTAGCTGCACAAGTTGCAGCTAGAGCAGCCAGTGAGCCTCAAGTAGGAGGGTGTTGGACCACGGGCAGCATGTTTGACACCCCTGATTTATGGCATAATGACCTTAATGTGTTTGCTACCCACCAGCCTCTTGGTGTCACCACCCTCGCTGAGTGGGCCGTCCTTATCTGGTATTAGAATCCTTGGTTACAGTCATTGTCTTGGAAGAGCAATTGCAGTTTAATGTTAAGAGATATATTTTTAATTTACGTTGATAATAGATTTTTGTACCTGTACCTGTACTGTGTTTTTCTTTTTTTCTAGGGTGATACAAGTAGTGCTGGTGATAACTGCCTCCACCTGCTGGCTATTGTAAGTATTGTAGTGTTGTGTTTAAATCTTACCTGTGATATTACAGATGTTATAATCATGAGATATACCACTTATGGTTGGCTCGTCTCATTGTTATATATATACTCCAGAATACAGTGAACCCTCGAAGATTTGAACCCGGTAAATCCAAATTTCGGAAGATTTGGACAAAATTTGGGGGTTCCGGGGGCTAAGAAGCCTTAAGAAGCATTCCCAAAACAGAGCAAAGATCATCTTAGGCCCGTATAACTAAGATGTCAGTGCGTGGGACACAGGTGTAGGCGGGAAACAGAGTTGTCAGTTGTTGTTTGTGGGACTATTATTTCATTCACTCCAGAATTGATACAATGTTTCTTATTATGTTATCATAGGTAAATGCATAGTTTGTATAATTTGTTTATCACTGTGCCTATCACCGTTTTAAAATTAGACTACAAGGTATGTATTTCTCCCTTTCGTATTTCGATCGTACACCTGGCAAAAGGAGCGTGTGAGTGACTGTTAGTTAAAGCGTCATCTGCAGTTGTAACTCGCCTCCCTCCCTGCCTCATTTCACTGGATTTACTGCTATTATTAGTGTTTACTGATATAATAATGTTTAACAGTGATTAATCATGTCATTGTAGCCAGGTTAAACTCGTTGCTGTAACCACCAGGCTACTGGGCCAAGCTGTGTGGTGTTGTGTTCGTTATTCAGCTCGTATTTTTTGGTAGATATACGTAACTTATTTCATTTATTTTAACTCCGTTACCTGCACACACCATCCTACATACATATTGTGAAAAAGGTAACAAATAATTTCTTTGCACATGAGTTAGCTGGCTCAGTGAGGGAGCAGGAGGAGAGCGCATAGTGTAGGGAGTGGGGAGCGTTAGCTGGTCTCCGTTGGTATGATGAAGCAGGGAGCGTATGCAAATGGCGACTGTGTTAAACTTTCATTTGGCTTTTATTTACTGATTTGGCAATACAGTATTTTTTTTTGTAACTTATTTATTGGCATTTGTATTTATTCCACACATTTACTGGTACTGTATATATTATTTTAAGAAAACAATGGATACAGGAGGAAAATCCACACAATAGGTTTTTCCTATATCAGAATTTAATGTTTTTATATATTTATTTCAGCATTCATCAGAAAAGAAAGACAATCGGCTTTTTCGGGCAGGTGGTCCCCACTTTTAGTCCGGATCTTCGAGGGTTTACTGTATTGACTTTTCAGATTTGCCCAAGACAGTACAGGGCTGTTGTATTGGGCACCTCCTTACCTATTGTGTAAGGTAAAGTGTAGAAGCATTACAGCACCAACAGGAAATCATGTGGAGTTCATGTTGGCCTTCTTAGACTTAGATGATGGCTGGTTGAGAGTGACTGAAAACCCATTGGTTTTGTTAGCAAGTTACACATGGGGAAGTAATAATAAGTGTACTGTCTATATGTTGAGAATTCCCAAATTTTACTGTACTGTGCCTGTATAGTTCATCTGTTTATAGCAAATGATGATAGGTCACTAATAGTGTAATGTCAAGTCATGGTGGAGGGTGGCACATTAACTTCAAAAATATTCAAGAAAATATTTTTAATGTTTTTGTGAAATGGAGGTGTCAGTAGTATTCGTCGTGGAGGTTCCAGGGGGCAGAGTATTTCGGGGCAGGTACATGTACCAGTGGTCCCTCGGTTAACAGCGCCTAAGTTATGAAATTTGGGATTGCGGTGCCTCCCTCAGATTTAAAATTCAGCGACAACCCCTGGGATTCTCCAGGCAAGCTTCAACAAGTTTTGGCTTGCACTGGGCGATCAACCAGCTGTAGTATTAGTCCGCCAATACATTAATCGGTTCTGGGGCTTAAATTCCTTACTATTTTAGTAAATATCAAGAAGTTTATACTATTCAATAATTTTAAAAGTTTAATATTCAATTTTTTAGTCATTTTAACAATTATTGAACATAATTGAAGGTAAAGTGACTAGTTTAATGCACGGCATCCAGCCTCTTAACACAGCAAACAGGCGTTAGTCTCTGTTTTCACTGGAGGTAACATCTTGCTTGACTCACTTCAACTAAATGCTTTTTTTCTGTGTTTCCAAGCAAATTATTGGTAATTTTGAAATTTATTTTACATATTGACAATATATAGCGCAGTAGTGTTATTTTAAAGAAAATATTCTTTATTTACAACAAGTTTAACTTTAAAAAGCACGTGTTGACATTGTTTGAATCCAGCATGGGGCCTAAGAGATCTAAACCAAGCAGGAAATCATAAAAAAACATGAACAAGGCATTAGAACAAATGCGCTATGCAAAGAATATGGCATGTCGACATCAACTGTGTCGACAATTCTTGCACAAAGACAAATTTAAAGAAGTGAAAGTGAGACAAATCTACAAGAGTGTTTAAAAGTAGATCCCTAATTGCAGAAACTGAGAGGTTACTTATCATCTGGATTAGGGAAAAACAGATGAAAGGTGATTCAGTTTCTACCGAATTCATTTGTGAAAGAGCCAGTGAGATTTACGAACATTTAAAGACAGATCAACCTGGTTCTTCAGGCACAGAATTTGAAGATTTTTGGGCCAGCAAAGGCTGGTTCGAAAAATTTAAGAAAAGAAGTGACATTTTCAGTGTTGTTAGGCATGGTGAAGCTGCTAGTGCTGATAAAGAAGGGGCAGCAAAGTTTTTAGTTGAATTTAAAAAACTGATGGAAGAAGAAAATTATCTTCCACAGCAAGTGTTCAATGTGGACGAAACTGGGCTGTTCTGGAAAAAGATGCCCAAAAGAACATTCATCACCAGAGATTAAGCCTCTTTACCTGGGCATAAACCCATGAAAGACCGTCTCACTCTACTGCTTGGTGCCAATGCTTCAGGGGATTTCCGACTGAAGCCTATGCTTGTCTACCACTCTGAAAACCCCAGGGTGTTCTAACAACAGAAAGTGGTAAGAACAAAGCTTGGAGTTTATTGGAAGTCCAACCGTAAGGCATGGGTGACAAGACAGTTCTTTAATGAATGGGCTGTTGATGTGTTTTGCCCTTCTGTGTAGAGCTACCTAACCACCAATAAACTCCCTTTAGAGGCTCTTTTCCTCATGGATAATGCCCCTGGTCATGACCCTGACCTTGCCAGAAATTTGGAGTATCAATTTGACTTTGTGAAAGTGTTGTTTTTGCCTCCCAACACTACATCAATCATACAGCCAATGGACCAGAATGTGATCAGCAACTTCAAGAAGTTGTACATGAAGAAAATGTGTAGGTGTCATAGGCAACTTCCAATGATCCTGAACTAACACTGAAACATTTCTGGAAGACACAATTCAGCATCCTGGAGGCTGTAAAATTGATTGTGTCATCATGGAAAGCACTGTGGCCATCAGTAGTCCATGATTTTGAGGGATTTGAGGAAGAAACAGAGTTGGACCAGGAGATTGTGTCCATTGGTCAGTCATTGGGCCTTGAAGTGGAGGAGGAGGATGTGGAAGAGCTTGTGATGTCTCATGAGGAGGAACTTACTCCTGATGACTTGAAGCAGCTGGATGAGATGTTACAGGTAGAGGCTGACAGTGGTGAGGAGGAAATTGAAAGTGATGACCATGTGTCAGCTAAAAAGTTGAAAGATGTGATTTACCACTGGGAGAAGTTCAGGGAACTGGCTTCAAAGCACCCAGAAGTGGAAAAAACTGAACTAACTTTGTGTCATGCTGAGGACTCAATGGTCTTTTTCTTTAAACATAAGTTAATGGTGAAGAGGAGAGATGCCCCACAGACCACAATTGACACTTTCTTCAGTAAAAGGCAGAGGGAACAAGATGCCATCCCTCAGCCTCCCACTTCAAGAAGGAGAGAGGATGTTCATGGTGGAGAATCTGTCAGTCCAGAGGTTCCTGACATTTTCATGGAAGGTGACTCACATTCCAAGAAGCAGTAAAATGCTTCTCCTCCACCTCCACTTCCTTCTCTTCTCCCTTCTCCTCCTCCACCTCCCACTTCAAATTCACCTCCACTTCCTTCTCTTCTCCCTTCTCCTCCTCCACCTCCCACTTCAAATTCACATCATCATCATCATCCACGAGCCTTCTACATACACACCTCAAAGTAAGTGAACTTTTCTACCTTTTTTGTTGAATTTTGGCAATTTTCGGTGAGCTGGAACCAATTACCCAAAAACCCATTAAAACAATGGTTTCGGTTAACGAGATTTTCGGTTAATGAGCAACCTGCTGGAACGGATTGTGCTCGTTAACCGAGGGACCACTGTACCGAATTATTTTTTTACGGGGAATAGCCCACCCGGGCACAGGTCACTGGCCCACAACAGGGCCTGGGGGGAGTAAAAAGAAATTAAAATTAGAAAAGAAAGAGACCATGTTAACTACACCACAAAAATGCCGGAAAACCAGCTTTTTGAAGTGAGACATTGTTAAAGTATGGAAACACAGAAGAAGGCAGAGCATTCCACAGTTTGGCTGTGTGAGGAAAGAAGGATGATTATAACGGGTTATTCTAGTGTGTCTTACAGCCACAGAGAAATGGTGGGCACCGCGGGCAAGATGAGTATTCCGAGCCCACGGCCTTGTTGGCGGTACACAGAATGCCAAGCCCACCGAACATTGCCCGTTAATGTACCTGTAAAAGAGAGAGAGTGAAGCAACATTGCAGCGAAGAGAAAGAGAAGAAAGATTATCAACTAAAGGAGGAGAGTTAATAAGACGAATTGCCTTTGATTCCACCCTATCTTTGTACAGTATATAAATTTACAGTTAGAAAATATAACAATGATTCAAACACAGTAATATCTCCGTTAGCCGGATTCCCTCAGGCCCGGAACTCTGAATTTTCCATAAAATTCTGGCATTTGGGAACGATTTTCCGAGGGGCACATTTTCTGGAAAACTTTTGAGAAAATTTTCCCTATACATTGTTCCCTCAGTTAATGAATGGTTAGGTTAACGAATTTCGGTTAACGAATTACCTTCCATAAGAATCTTCAATTCGGTTAACGAAAAAAAATTCGTTTAACGAAATCCTTACGAACATCACGGTTTGTTGTGAGCATCAGCTGATGGGCTAGTCTGCCAATTCATTAATCTGTTCTGTGTTTAGATTTGTTTCCAGTGGAGTAAACATCAAGAAAATTGTGCACTTTACTATTTGTGCATTTTTTATATTAAAATTGTGGGTCATTCTAAAATTGAGCCATCCAAGCTGTCTACATAAAGTTTTTCAACTATTATTTTTGGCTCGATATATGTAACTTTATTCATTTATTGAAACTCATTTACATGCACACACTGTCCTAAGGGCAAAGCTGTACTGTACATGTAATCAATATAATGTACAAAATGAATACTAAAATTTTAGTCTAGTGCAAACTATTGCATGTTTACATTCAAATTAATCACTATTGTATAAGAATTCAAGCAATGTAAATTATATTCTCCCGGGTCACTTCTATGACATTTTATAATAAAAAACAAAAACTCAATCTAAAGGAAATAAATAAACAAATAAATACTTCACTAGACCTTGGAGGCCTAACTGTCACACATGTCACTGTCACCCCTCCCTCCCCCCCTCCCCCCCACCCTCCCAGCAAAGGTTTGGTGGTTTTCAGTAGGCTTTAAGTTTTTATCTTATATAATATCACAGACTAAAGTTAGGAGAATATAGTTTGCATTGCTGGAATCCTTACTAGACAGCGAATAGCTTGAATATAAACGTCATATATTTTGCACAAGAGATAAAGATTAATCACCTGTATCACATTACAGTAGTGATTTAAGAATTCTTGTGTATATGTACATACTGTATATATATAGTGATTTAGGGGTAATTTAGGAGTGTTTCTGACTGAGTTTTTGGCTTTACTTTGTATATACTTTTCTGTGAGCTGGAACCAATTACCCAATATCCCATTGAAACAATTGTTTCGGTTAACGAACGACCCTCTGGAACGAATTGAGTTCGGTAACCAAGGGACCACTGTACCTGGAAAATTCCGTGGATGGGGGATTTTTTCCGGGTTTGAGAGAGTCGTCTTGTTACCTGGAAATCTCTCATTCTCGGAAGTGCTCTGCACCAATTGTTCCAGCGATCGGAGATTTAACTGCAATCTATTCTTTAGATTACATAAATTGTGCAGAACACAGTCGACAAAATTATTCAATCAGTAGCTCGTCCAACTGCCCTGTAGCCTGTTCAGCATGGATGCCAAGGTCATGAACCAGCTCTGGTCTACCCCTGTATTATTCCCACTGTCTATTAATGTGCATCATAAGTTGATTGCCGGTCCATTCTTCTACCATTTCCCACATGTTGACCATGCATGCCCACACGTGCTCAATACCATTCATATCTGCTCCCTTGCTGGGCTGTTCCAGGAGCTCTAGGTTGTCCTGCGTTGCAAACCACTGTTGAATGACGTGGGCAGTGTGTATAGGGCAATGGTCTAGGACAAATAAAATGGGCACCAGGTGGGAAAGGGTAATCCCTCTCACGGAGGGATGGCAGGAAACACTCCTCGAGCAGCTCGATGTATTTCGCTGCTGTAAACCTTCCCTCATTCTGGAACACATCACCCACGCCATGATGTGAAACCCAGCCCCCAGACATTGCAGGTGACATGTCCAAAACGGCCTCGTCAAATATTTTAGACCTGTCATACATACATGCGTAACAAAGTAACAATTAGTTAATGTTTATTGATAGATAATATTCTGCATAAAATGGATCATGCATAATGTAGAGATATAAAACTTTTGTGGATCCCTTTATTTTATTTGCTGTTCTTTATGGTAAAACTAACTTCTCTTCCTTACTATTGACAACACAACATACATACCTATATTGTTTCTAACTTTTGATCTTTTTTTCATTTTTGTATATATGGTTCTTTATTATTATTATTACAGTTATTATTATTATAACAGGTTGTACCTCTCTAGTCCGGCATTCTGTGGTCCGGAAACTCCCGTGGTCCGGAACGATTTTAGTTTGTCCAATAGGTAGATAGGCTTTTTTTTTTTTTTTTTTTTTTTTACTTATCTGAATTATTATTATTATTACAGGAGTATTAAATTTTTGCCCCTCAGGCTCCAATGTGGGTCAGTGACCTATGCCCGGGTGGGCTAATCCTCGTAAAAAAAACAACAACAAAGCCGCGGGAAATTAAGGTTTGTTTACATCCGGCAGTTCGGCTGCTCTCTCTCTCTCTCTCTCTCTCTCTGCTTGTCTATACAGAGTACAACATTTAACCCTTCAATATATATGAGCAGTAAATAAGTGTTGCTTTCATATTCTTATGTAGAGTAATGACGATATATTTTCACATGTGCGCACTTACATACGAGCAGTCTCACTTTTTTTTTACCATTAATGGTTAGCTACTTATATTGTTCCATTTATTAACATTAAATAACATTACAGGTACTTCAAGCAACCATATTCATTTTTTACATTAATTTTACTACAGCTAAACTCAGGGTCTTATTTTCTTCAGTTTTATATGTAGAACCAATCAGTCACTGGTTTCGTAAGCTTTAACATAAACAATGCCGGCAGCCGTCTCGTCTCCTCTAATATTCCACGTATTATTAATAAATTGTATTGTTAATTTTGCACACACGTACATTGATTCAATAAAAACAAATTCAGAAACATTAATTAAAATATATATGAACAGTAAATAAGTGTTGCTTTCATATTCTTATGTAAAGTAATGACGATATGTTTTCACGTGTGCGCATGCGCACTTACATATGCGATCTCTCTTTTCCTTTGCCATTATTGTTAGCTACTTCTATTGTTCCATTTATTAACATTAAATAACATTACTTAAAACAACCATATTAATTTTACTACAGCTACAACCAAGGTCTTATTTTCTTCAGCTTTATATGTAGAACCAGTCAGTCACTGGTTTTGTAATCAACGAAAACAATGCTGTGTCATTTCCTCGTGTGTTTTAATATTCTACGTATTATTAATGAATTCTATTGCTCATTTTGCACACATAAACATTAATTCAATAAAAGACATTCAGTAATAAACAACAATGAATCTTTTGTACATAAGAGAAATGACGCTGTTTACACGATTATGCACGTTGGCGGGCCGTTCAAACCCGTCGAAATTCAAGTTTCCGGCGTCAAAATTTTTATTTATATATTTTTTTGTGTTTTCCAATAAAATACGTTAAGAATTAAAAACTCGCGAAATTTGAGAAGCTGCTATACGACATTTAACCCTTCAATATGTCTTCAAAGAGACCATGACGAAGAGAAAGTGGTGCTAGTGCTTCCAGGCATAAGCACAAGTCACTATCTATCCAGGAAAAGGGTGAATTTCCATGGTCCGGCACCGGTCAGGTCCCAAGGTTGCTGGACTAGAGGTACAACCTGTATTATTATCATCATCATCATTATTATTATTATTTTATTTTTTATTGTTAATTTTATTTACTTTGAATTATTTATCATTATTATTGTATTATTATTATTTTTATTTTTATTTTTATTATTATTATTATTATTATTATTATTATTATTATTACATTTTCGCCCCCCAGGCCCTGATGTGGGTCAGTGACCTGTGCCTGGGTGGGCTAATCCCCATAAAAAAAAGGAAAAGTTCAATACTTTCTCTTAAAATTAACTTATAAGTTAAAGTATAAAACAAGTTAGGAGTTTATATTTTATTATGTGTACATCTACTGTAGACTTTACCACCTAGATATTAATACTTTTTGTAATAATTCTTGTAGCTGGTTGCTGTGTTACATGCATCAGATGAATCCACTTATTGGGCCACAGCTTCACAACACAACAGTCCTGGCTCTCCGATACCTCTGGGTAAGTGATATGTTTTCTCCTGCAACAGTAAGTAAAACATTTTTTTATATTGTCATTCTGCCGTTAATCATCCCGTTGAACACATATGGTTTTGGAGTCAAAATTACTATGAAAAAATATGCAGGTTATTGTTAATGTATATATTTTATTTAAGTGTACAGTAAATTTTGATAAAAGTGAAAAATGGTAACAGCTGCCACCACGCGTTCATAGTTTCTCACAAACACGTTCTATAACAGCGTGAAACAAAGCCTTGTACTGTACTGTGTTCAGTTACTGTTTCCTGTTTTGGGAGTACAGTACTTAGTACAACAAATAACGATCATAGTTATCAATAAGAGCTGAGTGCGTACTAACACTTTGAATTTGATTTTACCCTCATTTAACCTTTATTCCTGGGTCAACCTAAAACCCACTGGGACACAACCCCATGCAGATATATTTCAGCAAAAATAAATAAATAAAAATCTGCAGTCGAAAACTGGTATTTTAAGCATAAAATTAGGGCAGTCACTCCAAGCATACTTCTGCGTGCACGTGGTCATCTATATCTATGGCCACCACTGAGGGGGTGGCAGGTGAGTGCCATTGTGTGTATCTTGTCCTCACCGCTGGCCGCCTCGACAAACTTGACGTCATCTGGGTCTGTTTACTCCCCATCGCTGTCATCATAACCGATGCTATAATAATGCCACTCAAATCAAGCAATGCTTGATGAATAGCACTACTGTTGAGGATGTAGAGGGGTGAGACGGGTCATGAGACGTCAAAGGACGTGCATCCATCGGGATGGCTGGTGGGTAACTGGACCACTAGATTTGAGACAAAGATTAAGTTAAGTTGCCAAGTAAATAAATATTGCATACAAATTATTTCATCCTGCCTGGACATTCAAAATATGTCAGAAGATTAAAAACGTTGAGGATCGTCACCCAGTGAACGTAGAAGTATGTCACCTGGGCTTTAAGGGTTAAGAAAACTATGGTTACAGAAGACAAATACACTCAAAGCTTTTCCCTAAATATTCCCTGCTGAAATGTGTCTTATATGGCATGAAATATGGTATCTATCAAAGAAAGCTGCTACAAATTAACTTTTTACAAAAGTATTATTGTTGCAGATCATCAACTTGCTCTTCTCATACTAAGAAGAAAGATATTTTTTCATACCCTTAACAGGATCATTATTTGTCACTGATTATTTATCATTAATTATTTTTTATGCTTTTTACAGGATGAAACTTTGTCACTGGATGATTTACCAGACGATACAACTACAGATAGTACCATTGATCTACCATCAACTACTCCAATGCCAAATACGGCTAATATGTAAACAGACCTGGAAAGCCCTTAAAACAGCTGTACTTTACAGTAAAAGCTGGTCAGGAAGAAGCCATTGTTGAGTATTCCTAGTGCATAGTGTGGCATAGCCCCTGCTGCTTCCTCATGAAGTAACTTTATAATCTATGAATATTACTTGTAAAGGACATTCCATGTGATGAGATAAAGTCTCACATTTATTGTAATTTTAAGTGTACTGTACTGTGTTTTTAAAGAACATTTTATATATTATACAGTACAAAAAAGATGCTGTATTTTCCAAGATGTATGGAGGAACACTCCATTTAACCTTTATTGGACACCTTAAATCTTTTAGTGTGTTGTGCACCTTCCACAAGAATTAAAATACTTTATAATACTAAATTTAAAGAAAAAATCTTTATACAGCACACTTTTTTTTTCTTAAAAATAGAAATTTTTGAATAATGTATTGCGTATCATTGATGTTTATGCTCTAGAAAAGTGTTATAAATACAGTACAGTATATAGAAAATGATGGAGTTGCTGTCAATATTGTGTGTGTATATACCTAATTCTGAAGAAGATATTGAAGAGATAATATAATTACTCTGAAAAGTTGTAGAGTAACATTTTGTTTGTCCATCTCAAGCTTTTACACATGTGTACAGTATTCATGCTTGATAATAATGGCACAGATTTTCCATACAATGAATATTCCAGAAATGCATCAGATAGAATACTTAGTTTTTCACACAAGACTTTGATACCTGTATAAAGTTTACTTTCTATATTTTAAAAGGTTTATTTGATTCTATTGTCAGATTTTTATTCATACCTTCAGAGGTTTTACTGTAAATATATGGGAACTGGTATTAAATAAAGTTAATGTATGTATATTGTAGTTAATATTTCTTCTATACCCTTAAGAAATAGAAATATTAAGTGACTTGTCTCTCCCAACCAACAACAGAGTAACTACTGCACTGGAAAGTATTAAAGTATGAACCCGTCTGATGCAAATGCTGATTAGTGTAAAAAAATTAAAGTGACTTTTCAAAGTTGTCATACAATGTAAAAAAGACATTCAATGAAATAATTAACATTTGACACACATTGTTCATCTACACACACAACTACTATCCTATCCTGAGTCATCTTCATCACTACCAGACAACCAAAATCACTACTGAATTTCCTGGGTTCTTGGATGCACATCTACCCTTGGCCGTGACTAAGAAGGAACTGTCAGGCCTAAAGATAATTTGTGGGTCGCAGCTGCCTCCCTACACAGGTACATAGGAGAGGTAGCACTATATCTGCCCCATTGGTCATCTGGCTTATAGAATTATTAGGAGTTCGTTTTTCTGATGCAAATTTATGGGAAGAATCGTGATAAATTGGATTTTTGGGCATAATTATTTAATAAGTGTATAATACAGTATAATTATATATTATGAAAAATACTTTATGAAATGCAGTATACAATATATTTTATGAAAACAATCATGGAAAGTAAAGTATAAAATACTTAGGAGTGTAAATTTCAGGAATTGGGACAGTAAAAAAAAAATCAGACAAAAATCTAAAGACATTAATAAAAGGTTCTACCGCCTGGGAAGATATTGGAAGTCTAATGGTAGACCCTGCTGCCATATGGCATCACAAAAATTGTGACCAAGTCCCAGGTTGCTGATCTGGCTTTCTGCCTCATTTACACAATTGCAGGGTTTCAATTGTTTCTCTTACTTTGACAACACAACATACATACTGTATATTGTTTCTCTATTGATTTTTTTCTTTTTTTTTCTTTATTATTAATACTGTATTATCATTATTATTTCATTTTTTTAATTAATTATTTTTATTATGATTATTATTATTATTATAATAATAATAATAATACAGTCAACCCTCGCTTTACGCGGTCCCACATTCCGCGTTTACGCGGTACCCTGCCGAAACCGGAATGCTCACATTCCGCGGTGCGTGTACCCCTTTACGCGGAGAGCGGCTGGCGAGCCGCGCCATTTTTGGATCCAAACCTCCTGCCATCTGCCATGTTGTGTAAGCGGCGCGAGCAGGGTGCGCACAAGGTCGCCCAGTCATCAAAACACCAGTTCTTCACCCGCCACCCACCACAGCCGCCCAAGTCAGTGATAGTGACAATTATAGTGAGGATATGGACTTATATGGACTTTGAGGGGTTTGACAAAGAGGCCCTGCAAGCCTCTGTGGTGGATAGTGATACAAGTGATACAGGTGAGGGCCAATAATCTGCCCTCTGCCTCGGAACCAACCCCCCATCCCTGTGTGCCCAGCCATCTTTTCTACTAATGTAAGTGTTAAAAAACCTAATATTATTGATATTTCTCTTAATTATTAATTGTGTGTGCATACCATCATAAAATTAAGAAGTTATTTTTACTACAACGTAGGTATTGTGATTGAAAATGTGGAGTTTGGGGGTCGGCCCGGTCTCTATTTCAATTAATCCCATATGTTGTTCACTTTACGCGTTTCTCACTTTCCGCGGTACCCTGTGGGTTGAATTAACCGCGTAAAGTGAGGGTTCACTATTATTATTATTATTATTATTATTATTATTATTATTATTATATTTTCTCCCCCCAGGCTACAATGAGGGTCAAAGACCTGTGCCCGGGTGGGCTAATCCCAATAATAAAAAAAAAATTGGGGTTTTCATATGCAAAATTGCATTTGATTGAAATTATCGCTTTTGGATTTTCATACGCAAATTTTGTATGAAGTAAAAAATTAAAAAACATTTTGTTCGCGTATGAGATGCACATTTGGCTACATCAGCTCAATCTGGCAACTACGATATGTACACTGGACTCCAAGGATACCACACCAGCCTCCTTATGTGTTCAAAGAACCCAGGATATAACACTCCTACATTTTCCAGGCATTTTCATGTGGCTTGCACTGATTTCTCGTGCATCACAGTGATTTCATTTATTCATAACAGTGTGGTGAGAGTTTTGAACCATGCCTCATGTTGGTGGAGGGGGGGGGGACACGTAAGAAGTGCAAGGAGAGTGCACCACGTGGTGCTTCCTCATACCTACCTACTTGCACTTATGTATAGAAATAATTATTTTATCGTGATTACTCATAAAACTGTTTGTAGATAATTTATTTACAATGCTAATGCAACAAATCCTACTTTTTTATCTCCCATGTGGTGTAGTCAAGTGCTGTGAGGTGAGTAACAGGCCAAACCCCGAGCATTTTGTGGAAGAGCGCCTAACCAAACCCAAAAGTGTGAATAAAATTTTGCAGTACATCCCCATGGAGATGGCATGTTGCCTTTATATACGTAAAGTAAGAAAAATGAAGAGGATGTGTGTGTGTGGACGTGGCAGGTCACCAAGTTAGACTGTCCCTGTAGCTACATCCCCTTACCAGGCCGAGCTGTGTTATTGTTAGTTTTCAACTTGTATTTTATGGTTAATAAGCACACACAATCGTTCATACAGAATATATATACAGTTAACCCTCACTTTACGCGGTTAATGTAACCCGGAGGGTACCGCGGAAAGTAAGAAATGCGTAAAGTGAATAACATAACATATGGGATTAATTGAAATGGAGTCCGGGCCGATCCCCAAACTCCACTTTTTGACGACACATAACTATGTTGTAGTAAAAATTTTATCTTAACTTTATGATGGTATGAAAAAACAAGTAATATAGAAGAGGTTAGGTTAGGAAAAATAAAGGTTAAGTTAGAAAACTAAAACTTAGGTGGAACACTTACGGTAGTAGAAGAGATGGGTCGGCATACGGGGATGGAGGCTGGTTCCGAGGCAGAGGGCAGATTACTGGCCCTCAGGTGAATCACCATTACTAGGTGAATCACCATCACTGTCACTTACAGTTGTCAGGGCTTCCCTGACAAATCCCTCAAAGTCATCTTCACTGCCACTATCACTGGCTTGGGCTGGCTGTGGTGGGTTGCGGGCGAAGAAATCTGTTATGCTTTGCTGACGGCTGGCGTTGATGTTGTCGTGATACACCTTGATGTACGGCTCCATAGCCTGCACCAGCCGGGTATGGAAGACTTCATAGCGGTCATCGTCATTGTCGCGGGAAAGGAAGGACTTCATTTTCTCTGCACACTCCATGGCACCCTTAATATCACTATGACTTAAACTGTGTTCTTCGGAGAATGACGCACCTTCTTCCTCCTCTTCACTGACGTGTTCTTCTTCCAACATCTCGTCGGCAGTCACTTCAGGATCTCTGATCACCTCCAGGATGTCGTCGTTGGTGGTCTCGGAGAAGCCTGGAACTGTAACAGTCTGCGCAGCTTCTCTGGCAAGGTCCACTGCTACTGCAACATTCTGAACCTCACCAGTCACAGATTGACTCCTCCTTTCACCTGGTATTCCATGCAACACATGTCTCCATGCGTGACGAATTGTAGCAATAGACAGCTGATCCCATGACTTCACCAAGAAGTCCACAGCTTTCTTGATGTTAAATACTCTCCAGAATTGTTTGAACAGTATTTTTTGCTGTTCCAACTGTTGATCCTCATCTTCTTCGCTCTTGCTATCGGTGGTGGTGTCACTCAGGTTACGCAACTCTTCCCTGGTGTTGGTGTAGTCGTTCAGGAGCTGGAATTTTTTTGTTGAGAATGCAGCTTTTACATTACAGATTAACTCTTGGTCCATGGGCTGTAATATAGACGTAGTGTTGGGAGGAAGGAAGACCACTTTTACGTTGGGGTGACGATCTAACAGTAGGGGCGAGTGTCCTGGTGCGTTGTCCAGCAGCAACAAAATATTGAATGGCACATTCTGTCGCTCACAGAATTTCTTTACATCGGGAACAAAACAGTCATCAAACCAGGAGAGGGACAGTGTAGAGAACATCCACGCCTTACGTGCGGTCAGCCAGTGGACATTTAGCTTGGTCATGTCCATGGTTTTGTAGGCGTGCGGCTTGCGTGCTGTGTGGATCACCGATAACTTGAGCTTACAGGTACCGGAGGCATTGGTGGTAAACAGGACGGTGATGCGTTCCTTCTGCATCTTCCGGCCCCGAATCCTGCTGGCATTCTTTACAACGAAGGACTTGGAAGGTAGCTTTTTCCAGAAAAGACCAGATTCGTCCATGTTAAACACCTGGTCGTCACTGTACTGTCCTTCCTCCATAATCTCACGTAAAAACGGAGGAAATTCCCTAGCCGCAGCACGGTCAGCACTCGCTTCTTCACCACCAATGTTTATATTGGTGATCTTGTTCCGGATCTTAAACCTCTGTAACCACCCAGAGGAAGCATTAAAGGGTTTGGGCTCTGTAATTCCCATCTTTCGTGCCACTGCCATGTACAGTTCACGTGCGTAGTCCTTAACAGAGCGCGTGTCGACCGCCATGTTCCGTCGCGCCTGACGCACCAAGTACCTCACAAGTAATTTTTCTGTCTTGAGAAGCACCTGGTTGTGAAAATACTTGATCATAGAAGCACCTGTAGACTTTGTGATCTTCATGTGCTCCTTTATCTTGGCTGCATCCTTCTTTATTGTTCGAATCGTAGATTCATTCACACCATGCTGGCGCGCCAAATCAACCTGCCTTGTTCCTTTCTCCAACTCTTGGATGATGGTATACTTCACCTCGTAGCTTAAGGAACGTCGTGTCTTCTTTGGCTTAGTGCCGCTGGGTCCAGGTAAGGAAAGGTTTCTCTCTGGGGGTGGTGGTCCGGCGGAAGCCATTTTACGGAACAATGGATGCGCGTTTACACGGTGTGGCCTTGAGGGATGAAACTGCCGCGGCTAGGTCAAGCATCGTCTCTCCTCCCTCCCCGGGGTGGTCACGTCATAATACTTTAAGCCAATTACAGCTAGCAGCAGAGGGGGGTAGGGATGCATGGCCAATCACAGTCCGATACGTCATATGACGTCGGTGATAACGCAACAAAGACACACACTGCGCAACCTTACCGCGCCGCTTGCCCAAGCGGAGGGAGAGGCGAGGAGCACAGGCAGGCAGGCGGGCGGGTGGCGGGTGGGGCGAATCTAAAAATAGCGTCGCGCCGGACACTCTCCGCGTAATGGGGTTCACGTACCGCGTAATTTGAGCACGTGAGGTTCATTTGTAATTCCCTTTAAAATGGCTGGCAAGCATAAAATTGAGAGTTTTGTGGTGCTGAGAAGAAAAAGAGACACCCATTTTAGATTTTCTATGTAATATTTTCGCATTTTCAACTAATGACCGAGTGGTCGGTCCCTAACCCCGTCGTAAGTCGAGGACTGCAACCAAGTTCTCTATGACATGCAATTCAATTTTCCACCATCTCTTTGTAGTTCTCAGACTTGTGGTTGCCCAGAAACCCATGTACTATAAGCCGAAATGCTTGCCAGGCAATTTTTAAACAGTTGACATTTTGTCTTCCAAATCTTTAGATGCCAACATCTGCCTAATTTGAGGTCCAATGAAGATGCATCCTTTGACTTTGGCCTCAGACAATTTTGGGAACATTAAGCGGACATGTTTAAAGGCATTACTTTCTGGGCTTAATACTTTGATAAACTGCTTCACAAGCCCTAACTTTATGTGAAGTGATGGCAGCAATATCGTCTCTCTTTGAATAAGAGCATTGTTACATACATTGTGTGCACCAGGAGTTAATTCCCATAGACAGAGAATACTTGGTATAGCCACCTTGTAGTCCAAGCAGGAAACCTATCATCTTGAAGTCTCCACATACATCCCTATTATTTCTTGTTTAGTTGAGGTTGTCCAACAAAATTTTTACATTTTCATAGTCTTCCTTCATGTGAACTAAATGACCTACCGGAATTGATGGAAGTGTATTCCCATTGTGAAGCAACACAGCCTTAAGACTTTTGTTGAGCTGTCAGCAAACAGATGCCAATCAGAAGGGTTGTACTCAATGCCTATTTGGCCAAAAAGGCCATTGACATCAGAGCAGTAACACAGCAAATTGAGTTCCAAAACTTTAAGAAAGGTGTAAAAGTTAGATGCCTTTTCCTGTATGTACTAATCTTGCAACTAGGATCTAGTAAATTTCACTCCTTAAAACGAGATGTCAAAACCTCAGCATTTTCCTTGGTAAGACCTAAATCCCTGAATAAGTCATCCAGTTCGTGCTGATTAGGAAAATGTGGGGATTTGCTTGAGTCTGCTACATTAAAGTCAACATCCTCGCCCTCTTCAGAAGATGAGAAGTCAGCACTTGAAATCGCTGTGCTTTTTAACAGAAATCCCCCAAAATTGCATTAAAATTGAGAAAGAGTGATATTGTTTAAGTTTTCAAAAAATATTGATAGCATGGCAAAACCAATGGCAGATTCATAACCAGCATGTCTAAATTAGTAAAGAAACAGCAAAAGCAACATAAACCAAAAATTTTTGCAGTTATCTAATAATATTTATTTACAGAGCCGATCAGCCGAGATGGTTGGAAAACTACTTCCAGGGTTCATCAAGGCAGATGAAAGAAATTTACTTAAAGTAGATGTCATTATGATAGTAGAGTATTATCAAGAACTCTGCCATCCAGCTATGAAGCACATTAAATTACATCTGTCATCTGATCATCCCCTGGCTATGGTCGTCCCTAGTCCTTCCACAACATTAAATATAGACATCAGTGACAAAAACTTACATTTTTCCAGACATGAATAGAGAAAAGTGATGAAAACTTCCATGTTGGAGTTATCGGTTTTGTGCATCATTTTGGCAGCCAGCAAGTTAATACTCACGATGATACTTGAGCAGTAATTTATTATAACCTAAAAATAAGGAATGGCCACAAGTCCTGTATTTCTACTGGTAACAACACATACACCACAGCTGGCTGCCTCCAGGCTCCTGCTCGAGCTAACCCGTGGCATCACAACCAATCACAGCTTTTCACAGTCACGTGACTTTTTTGCAACATTAACCCTTATTTTTGTTTAATTTTTGGCCCAATTCATTTAAAAATATCATTACCATAGTGAATTTAAATGTTTTCTTTACACATTGACCTGCCATCTCATGAAAACATTCTGACCGACAACTCGTCTATTTAGGTTTGGGAAGGTTGATATAGTTTAAGTATTGACTGTAATTTTGTACAATGTGTCAAATGCTTATTTGTTCTCAGTTATACTTTTATTTATACTGTTATTGACATAAGTAAGTTATTCAAGAAAATAACTTGTAATTATAGATGAGAAAGGTAAAAGTCTGACATGTTTCATAACTGTTTATTTCCTCATTCAATAGTTATACAAATTTGATTAAAACCTACTGTATGTACACTGATATTACGAAAGCTGAAGTAATGAAGGATAAAAGAAAACACTAAAATCAACAAAGAAGTGTCAAATAAAATCATCGGTCAGAAGCAGATTGGTAACGTCATGGAGAAGTAGACACTATATTGTTGTCTGACCTCAACAATGACCCCCCCCCCCCCAATTGATTCTTGTGGAGAAAAATGTCCCAAACTATACAAATTCATCATAGGCAATGACTTTCAGGAACTCATCCTTTGTGATAATTGGTGTATTCCTGTTGTCGAATCAGAGGAGCTTTTATCATGATACAGTACTGTATTTATACCGGTAATTGATTTTTAAACAGAAAGGCAGCTTATACAGTGAGAAGGCAGGTAAAGACTTTCAGCATGAGTAAATAGAGGTGACAGTCCTAACATTAAAGACTTGTTATGAGAGTTGTTGTTGGTTAAAACTGGTAATATTTATTTGTCCAACACAAGGAAAGGTCTGTATTAAGCACTATGATTAAGATCTTTGCATACAACGAAATGACAATAAACCTAAAGGCTAATAACTATAATAAAAACTCATATGAAAAGAAAGTTAAATTCTTTCCCAATATAATCATTACAGTCTATGAATTACAGATATCCATTAACTTAAAGTAATTGTTCACTGTTCAATACAGAGCTTTCATCTTGTTTTTATGTACAACTGTCCTTCTAAGTTTACTCCTGGGAAGCCTCTGTAATAACACTGAACATCCTTCAAGCTGCATTTCAGGACTTGGAGATTCACCTTCATTATCACTAGCAGGTGAATTACTACACAATGAGTCTCCACTTCCCTCTAGAAAATTCCTAATGCCTAAATATTTGACAGGTTTCAAATAGGGTATTCTATCCTGCACATCTCGCCTGGGAGTTACAGCGACCGGAGACATGGATCTGTCATTAGTTTTTGCACTAGAAATATCATCTTCTAAATCTGAGAGGCTCTTGTTGGCTACTGGCTGATTTTTAGAATAAACCACACCACTTCCTTCCCCATCACTCATGTGTGACCTTTCAATAACAGTTACATCAATATTTTCTCCAGAGTTATGATGTAAATTTTCCTCTTCTAGGGATATCTCTGCTCCAAGTAATGATTGTTCTTGTGGACTATGAAGACTCTGTTCTTGTGGTCTATGAGTGCTCTGTTCTTGTGGTCTATGAGGGCTCTGTTCTTGTGGTCTATGAGGGCTCTGTTCTTGTGGTCTATGAGGGCTCTGTTCTTGTGGTCTATGAGGGCTCTGTTCTTGTGGTCTACGAGGGCTCTGTTCTTGTGGTCTACGAGGGCTCTGTTGTTGTGGTCTACGAGGGCTCTGTTGTTGTGGTCTATGAGGGCTCTGTTGTTGTGGTCTATGAGGGCTCTGTTGTTGTGGTCTATGAGGGCTCTGTTCTTGTGGTCTATGAGGGCTCTGTTGTTGTGGTCTATGAGGGCTCTGTTGTTGTGGTCTACGAGGCCTGTTGTTGTGGTTCACGAGGGCTCTGTTGTTGTGGTCTAGAGGACTCTGTTGTTGTGGTCTACGGGACTCTCTGTTGTTGTGGTCTACAGGGGCTCTGTTGTTGTGGTCTACGAGGGCTCTGTTGTTGTGGTCTGAGGGGCTCTGTTGTTGTGGTCTACAGGGGCTCTGTTGTTGTGTGGTCTGAGGGCTCTGTTGTTGTGGTCTCTACGAGGGGCTCTGTTGTTTTGTGGTCTCTGAGGGCTCTGTTGTTGTAGTCCTCTGAGGGCTGTTGTTGTGGTCTATGGGGGCTCTGGTGTTGTGGTCTATGAGGGCTCTGTTGTTGTAGTCTATGGGGCTCTGTTGTTGTGGTCTATGGGGGCTCTCTGTTGTTGTGGTCTACGGGGGCTCTGTTGTTGTGGTCTATGGGGGCTCTGGTGTTGTGGTCTATGGGGCTCTGTTGTTGTAGTCTATGAGGGGCTCTGTTGTTGTGGTCTGAGGGCTCTGTTGTTGTGGTCTCTGAGGGCTCTGTTGTTGTGGACTATGAAGACTCTGTTGTTGTGGTCTATAGGGGGCTCTGTTGTTGTGGTCTATGAAGTCTGTTGTTGTGGTCTATGAGGGCTGTTGTTGTGAGGTCTACGAGGCTCTGTTGTGGACTATAGGGACTCTGTTGTTGTGGTCTATATGAGGGCTCTGTTGTTGTGGTCTATAGGGCTCTGTTGTTGTGGTCTATAGGGGCTCTGTTGTGTGGTCTATGAGGGCTCTGTTGTTGTGGTCTATGGGGGCTCTGTTGTTGTGGTCTATGAGGGCTCTGTTGTTGTGGTCTATGAGGGGCTCTGTTGTTGTGTGGTCTATGGGGCTCTGTTGTTGTGGTCTATGAGGGGCTCTGTTGTTGTGGTCTATGAGGGCTCTGTTATTTGTAGTCTATGAGGGGCTCTGTTGTTGTGGTCTATGAGGGGCTCTGTTGTTGTGAATTATAGAGGTCTCTGTTGTTTGTGTGGTCATACAAAGGGCTATGTTATTTGTGGTCTACGAGGCTCTGTTGTTGTGGTCTACGAGGGCTCTGTTGTTTGTGGTCTATGAGGGGAGCTCTGTTGTTTTGGTCTATAGAGGGAGCTCTCTGTTGTTGTGGTCTATGAGGGCTCTGTTGTTGTAGTCCTATAGGGGCTCTGTTGTTGTGGTCCTCTGAGGGCTCTGTTGTTGTGATCCTATGAGGGGCTCTGTTGTTGTGGTCTACGAGGGCTCTGTTGTTGTATGGTCTACGAGGGCTCTGTTGTTGTGGTCTACAGGGGCTCTGTTGTTGTGGTCTATGAGGGCTCTGTTGTTGTGGTCTATGGGGGCTCCTTGCACCTAGCCTCATCTGAAGTGCATTTCTGTTGTTCCTCTTCAGGGCTTGAATAGATTCCTCTACTCAAGAATTTTACACACGCTGTATGATGGCACTACCAACACCATTGCTAACGAAGGGGCTTGTGGAGTAAGTTTTGCCACTTCACCAAACTTAAACTAACTTTCTCTTTGCCACATATATTCTTCGGTTTACTTGTGATTGGATATGATCAGTTCTAGATGGCTTACAGTAATTGTCCCTAGACCGTGTCTCTCCCTCTTTACTTTTCCTTCTAATTTTTTCCTCATTATGACTTTCAATTTCTTCATAAATGTGTTTTTGTCTCTTCCTTTCATTTGCTGATTTTCGCTTCTGAGAGTCAGGTTCACTTGAGTTATCTTCCTTAAAATTATTTGAAGAAGTCTGTTCATCTCTCTTAGTGTCTGATCTTATTCTTGTGAAGTGCTTCTATTTCTTCTTTCACTGGCTGAAAATAGAAAATTTAAAATTAGGTTAAATGTGCGGTGAATTTTCTTCACATGTACCAGTAACCTGGGTGAGTATAACTTACATTGCTGGGATGCTTGTAAGATAGTGATTTATTTGAATATAAACAACCTATATAGTATTTGCAGTAGACATAACAATTTTAGTACCATAATCATTTAGTACATGTACAGTACAGGTTTGCACTTAGGTCCATTGTTAACCGAGGGACCACTGTATTGCAGTGTACTTGTACTGTACAATATTGACTAAATTCACTAGATAACGTACACAACTAATGGTTGGTAAAACTTGTCAAGTAAGTGAGTGTCAAGTCTGTCAGTATGAGTGGCACGTGTGAGTGCTTGTGTCCCGCATCATAGGAGTCAGTTTTCGCTCGCTTCAGGATCTGGAGTCCTCCGTTTTCTCTCTTAATCTTAGAGTGCACCAGAGACTTCGTTATTCCTTAGTAATGACACAGAATTTGAAATTGCAACCCCAAATGCAACTGGGGTTGCAATTGTTGAACAACTAGATATGTCTGATTACAGCAAATGTTATTGTCAATTTGTAGGTGAAAGATTTTATCCCCAATAGATGTAGGTTAACATTACACCTGGAGGCAAATGCTTGCTAAAGCCTAAGGAAGGATATTCCTTTAACACATAATATCTGGCCATTATGGGAAGAATCATCGTGTCTCCGTCAGGGGGTCGTGGAGTGGTGGTCCAGCAGGCGTCACGGAAGTGTTGTATTTTTTGTGTGCGTGCGTGCGTGTGTGTGTGTGTGGGGGGGTACGGACGTATATGCGATCGGACGTTGTTCGGTTGGACGTTAACCGGCGCATGACTGTATATTCAAATGAATCACTTCTGTAACATTTTATAAACAAAAAACAAAAACTCAATCTAAAGGACATAAATAAGCAAATAAATACTTCACTAGATCTTCGGCCCCAACTGTCAAACATGTCACTGTCACCTCCTCCCTCCTCTCCCCCATCTGCCCAGCCAGGGTTTGGTGGTTTTGGGTTTTAAGTTTTTATCTTATATAATATCACAGACTAAAGTTAGGAGAATATAATTTGCATTGCTATAATCCTTGCAAGACAGCAAATAATTTGAATATACACGTCATATTTTGCATAAGAGATGAAAATTTTAGCCCTTTGTAATAAAATGAATTAGAACATGTCAGTTTAGTGACATTTTATAAGAGAGAAACTTAAAGTCACTCTTAAGGACAGATAAATAAATAAGCACTAGACCTTGGCATCAACTGTCAAACATATCACCTCCTCTCCCCCAAATCTTCACATCAGCTGATCGCTAGTAAACAGACCATTTCACATCCCATAATTTTAGCGGTGTTGATTTATGAGTGTTTGTTTTAACAATACTACAAAAAACAATGTTTTGTTTATTCTAGGTGATGGGCTGAGGTGCATCTGGGTAGACTCGCAGTCCTTTTAGTATTTTGTGTTTCTCTCAAGTACCAAACTAAATTATTCCATTGAAACAACACTTAGATTTAGTGCAAATTCGGAAACGTATCTCGCGTTATATCGACATTCTACTGTATTGTGTAACATAAACATAGACATATACATACAGTACAGCTCCTCCCCGACTTACGACCACCCGCACTTACCACCTGCCTCAGTCGTACCAAAAGTTTGTCAAATTATGTATTTTCGAGTCCCAACACCAGTGATTGCGCTGTGTACTGAAAAACTGTTCATTTGTAATTCACTTTAAAATGGCTGTGAAGCTTAAAAGTGAGAGTTTTGTGGTGCTGAGAAGAAAAAGAGACACCCATTTTAGATTCTCTATGTATTATTTAAGCATTTTCGACTTGCGACCATTTTGACATGCGATCTGGATTTGGGTTCCTAACCCCGTCTTAAGTCAGGGAGGAGCTGTATATAAAAATAAAACAAAGATTGTACATGAACTTTCATTAGCATTTTGTCATATTCCCCTTTGCATCGATGACCATTTTATTCCTTGGTGGCGTGCTGTCAGCTAATTTTTTGAAGTATTGTGGATCAAGGTCTTGAGTCCGAATGCGCCTGATCTCGTCCTGCAGGCTCTTGGCAGATGAGGTATTGCAGTTTGCCAGCTTTCCCCAGAGATAATTCCAGGCATTTTCAATGGGATTCAGGTCAGGACTGTTTCCTGGCCACTGTAGAACATCAATGTTATTGTCCTGAAGCCATTTTGTCACTTTCTTAGCCTTATGGCAAAGGGCACTGTTGTGCATAAACACCCATGAATGTCATAAAAATTTAACAAATGGTTTTCAAGAACATCAATGTATCAGTCAGCATTCACTGTCACATTTTGGGGGAGGAAATACAATCCACTTCTACCAACTTCCCCACTAAAACAACCCCAGTGCTTTCATCTGACCACATTACCTTACTCCACTGATCTGGTGTCCATTCTTTGTAGGTATAAGCAAAATTGAGTCGTTGCTTGCGCATACAGTCCATCAGAAGAGGCTTACGTGCAGTGCAGCGACTAGGGAGCTGCAACTCTTTTTGTAGACGGTGTTGAATTGTGTTTTGTGAGACATCAGCAAGCAGGCATGGATGGCTTTTTTTTAGCAGAGCTGCTGTAATCCTGGGGTCCTTAAGTACTTCTCGCCGCAGTAAGTTATCTGTGCCTTTAGTAGTCTTCCGTGGGCGACCATGATACGTTTTGTAAGGTGGGATAACGTTGTGAGGCAGCCGCCACCAAGCGTTTAATGGTGGATTTTCCCCGGCCAGTACGTCTACAAATTTCACTCAATGATACATAATCCAGCTTCCACGCCAAAATACGGGCTTTTTCTTCAACTGTAAGGTTCTTAGGACCTATACTTATGAAATAGCACCCTCTAAATGACCCAAACCAAAATTCTAAGGCACAATGCTCCAGCATCAAACATATAAGTCCTCCTTTGATGATTTCATAAAGCGCACTAAAGCTCAGCTTCCCGCCATGTGGTAGCTACTGTCCCGGAGAGTTGCCAGATGTCACCAAGTTGTGATTGGGCAAGCGGCAGGTTTGGAAACGTTAATAAATTTAACCCTGTAGTTCATTCAAAAATCGCGTGAGGGGCCCAGTTCATTTTGCGGACACTGTAAATAGGATAACTAAAAGTATGGGTTAACTGAAACATCTATGTTTAAGATAGTTTACATTATTTATCCATAGCAATATGCCTATATCAGTTTAATGAGTACAATATTCAATGTACAGTATATATTGTGATCAAATTGATGCATCAACTTCCTTGAAAATCTAAAAAGTAAATAGGATGAATGAAAGTAAGGGGTAACTGAAACATCTACTATTAAGAAATATCTAAAGTATAGTAATGTGTGTATGTCACTTTAATGAGTACAATAATAAATGTACATATTATGAACAAATTGATGCATTGACTTACATGAAAAATTAGGGCAATATGGTGAAATCAATACTGCAGTGATCCGACATGGAACCTGCGAATTTGGGGAAGTCAGATATAGGGCTAAATGCTCTCGCTGACTGGCATTGTCTTCGGTATTTGGAGATGGCTCTAGTCAAGCATTAAACGGTTCCGCAGAAGTCATCAAGATAGCGCCGATGTTGGATAAAAACTGCTGGGATGATTAACATTAAAACTAGGGAAATGCATGGGTTGCGAGTATGAATGCAAAGGTTGCGCAAGAGATCGTGACTTAACCCTTAAGCCCCGAGTTAGGGTGCTGCTGGAAGCCCCCCCCCCTCTCTCCGATAAATCGAGAAAAGATCAACTTAAAAATAAGGCAGACGTTCTGGAACGTCACCTGGGGCGCTTGGTTGGACGTACTGTACTGCGCACATCATTGTCATTCCTAAAAACCCCATTTAATTCATATTACGCTATATAACATTCAAATCCACCGCCAGAACCTCAGAAAACAGGGAAACATTGATAAGGACAACTCACTTACTCAATGTTACTAGACCATGTGTTGTATTGTACCCAGGTACAGTTATATCATATTAATTGTATGTATTCATAGCATTAAGGAGAACTCAGGGTATCCATAAGATGAATGTTAAGTCCAGTTCAGCCGGACTAGTGTACTGTAGGACTAAGTGTGGATCAGGGTTTGAAGGTCATACTATTTACATCTGTGGCGTGTAGCGAACATAACTCCACAGATATCATATGAAAATCCATGAGAACAATGATCTGGAAAAAGGATAAATGTATCAGAACTATGTGAGGTGTTGGAAGTGACCCAGAAACTATACTTGAAAGAAATATCTTGTATGCATCGGTATGAACTTAATACACCTCGTATCCTCACATGACATATACCCACGACAGGTACAGTGATCAGAGAGTCTTATGTCTGTGTTCAAATAGTGCAATGTGTGAGAGGAGGATCCTCATTACAGTTTTAAGTGAAGTTGATACACCCCGCCATGAACATTCAGCCTTTGTTTCAAAAGTGGCGTCGTACCCGTCCTGGTGTGCAGCGTTGATATTATAACCCAATGAATTTACCCACGAACTAGCAAACCAGACCTTACCTTAGAGGAATTTAGGATTAAAATATGTGTTTATACGGCATGGTGACAATATACCGAAAAAGTGTTCAGGTGAGAACCGTAAGAAA